AGGAACAGAATTAGAAAAACCTATGTAAGACCTATGTAGTGAAAATAATGAAACATTGCTGAGGGAGATTAAAGAAAATCTAAATAAATGAGCTCTAGACCATGCTCATGGATGGATAACTCAAAATTGCTAAGATAGCAATTTTCCCAAATTGATCAATAGATTCAACACAATCTCATTAAAAATCCCACCAACCTTTTGTTCATTTGTTCCTGGATACTTCAGTTTGTTGACAAAATGATTCTAAAATTTTGGCCGGGCATGGTGGCTCACACCTGTAATCCCAGCACTTTGGGAGGCCAAGGCGGGTGGATTACCTGAGGTCAAGAGTTCGAGATCAGCCTGGCCAACATAGTGAAACCCCATCTCTACTAAAAATACAAAATTAGCTGGGTGTGGTGGTACATGCCCGTAGTCCCAGCTACTCGGAAGGCTGAGACAGGAGAATCACTTGAACTCAGGAGGCAGAGGCTGCAGTGAGCCGAGATCGGGCCACTGCACTCCAGGGCAGTGCAATCTAATTTCAAGACTTAATATAAAACTTTAGTAATCAGGATAGTGTGATGTTGGCAGTTGCAGACGTATAGATCAATGGGACAAAATACGGAGTCCAGGAATAGACTCAACTATACATACATGGCCACTTAATTTTTTTACAAAGTTGTCAAGGTAATTCAATGGAGAAAGAATATTCTCTTCAACAAATGGTGCTGAAACAGTTGAATACTCAGACGAAAAAATTTGAAACTAAAAAAGCTTCTGCCTCTACTTTACTTTGTGCCACGTACAAATGTCAACTTGAAATGGAATACAGCACTACATGGTAAAGCTATAACTATAAAACTTCTGAAATAAGAAAATCTTAATGACCTTGATACAGGTAAATATTTATAAAAGAGGATACCAAAAACATGATCCCTAAAAGAAAACACTGATAAATTGGACTTCATCAAAATTTAAAATATCAGCTCTTTGAAAGACACTATCACTGCTTAACAAACTCATCTCCGTGACTGAAAACCACCACAACGTTCTGTTTGTCGTGATTCTAGGTTCTCTAGGAAGTCCATCCACTGTACATGATGGGGTCCCTCACTCTGGGGCTGTGCACCCCTCAGCTGGAACATCCACAGGTCCTCTTGTACCCTGGGGTCTGTCTTCATACAACCTCTACAAGTCCAACACAATCAATAGTGGTTCTCCATATAATCCATAATGTCAAGAGTAATTTTTTTTTTGAGACAAAGTCTCGCTCTGTTCTTGCCCAGGCTGGGGTACAGTGGTGTGATCTTGGCTCACTGCAATCTCTGTCTCCCAGCTTCAAGCAATCCTCCTGCCTCAGCCTCCCGAGTAGCTGGGACTACAGGAGTGTGCCACCACACCTGGCTAATTGTCATACTTTTAGTAGAGAAGGGGTTTCGCCGTGTTGGCCAGGCTGGTCTCGAACTCCTGACCTCAGATGATCCGCCCACCTCAACCTTCCAAAGTGCTGAGATTATAGGCATGAACCACCATGCCTGGCCCAACAGTAATTTTTGAAATGATTATTATACCACTGCAAAAGTAGGAAGCATCAAGGAATTAACAAAAATATAGAATCTTTATGTAGAAAAATTGTAAATGCTGTCAAAGGGCATGAAAGAAGATCTAAATAAATGGTGGAATAACCATGTTGGTGAAAAACAATTCTCAAAATTGTGAAGTGTCCATATGCCACGCCATCCATTTAAAACAATGTGTTTTGTACTTTCTAGTGCTTTGAAACCTTGGCGCCTTGCTGGTCCTCAGAGGGCCCCTCCCAGGGCCAGCCAGCTCTTACTGAAGTCACCTTCTTATGGAACGGGGAGAATGAACATTAAGAATGAAGTAACATTCTTACTGAAGTACCCTGTACAATTAATGTGATTCAAAAGGAAGCTTCCAGTGGGAATTTTTAGCAATGGGGACAACTGCTTCCAAAATTTGGATGGAAAAATAAAATTCCCTGAATTCCTACTACAATTCTTGGGAAGAAGCGCCAACAGGAAGGAACCCCCTCTGCACACGGTTGAAAGGTGTAGTCATTGAAGCAGCCAGATGCCACCACGGGAGTAAATGAGTACACAGACCGGTGGGTGGGATGGGGCAGCTGGAAGGAGCTTCAGGAACCCTTCTGTTCATGCTGGAAGTGGACTCACAAGAGGCAGTCCGTGACTGATGCCTGGTGTTGAGAATATCGGGTCTCCATGCGAGAAAAAAAATCTTCAAATGGATTAAAATACAACCATGAAAGGCAGAACTGAAAAAAGATGTTAGTAGAAAATGAAGGAGAACATCTCTTTCTGTCCTAGAGATAACTCTAAAATTCAAAAATTAAACCAACAACACAAAAATACCCAGCCTCACCAGAACAAGCAGGTACCTCGTGTTCTCAATGCACTTGGAGTGTAGGAAACACCTCTTCGTGAATCTACACTCTTAAAACAGAAACAAAACCGAGCCAGAAGCCTCAGGGTGTGGTTACCAGCCCCAGGGAGCTGTGGGGGGCTTCCAGGAGGTTCCTGGGAACCACAGTGGGGACTCCTTTGTAGTTAAAGAACCCTTAGGGTAGTTTCCCCAAAACTAAGTCCTGACAATAAACTCATTTTTCCCCTGCTACAGTGAGAAAACTGCTTATACCTCCCTGCCCAAGACGAGCTTCTCTTAATCAAGCTTCCAGAACCCTCCAGGTCTTAAGAACATTCCATCACACAGAAGAACCAAAGCCTAAGTGTGAAGGACCGGTGTGGGCTGAGGAATTTCCTTGCTGCTCCTCCAGGCTTGCACTGATTTCCCCATAACCAGGTCCGCCTCTCCACCCCTCACAGTCCCCAGGAGAAAACTGACTCCTGCACACAAGAGTGCCCAGCTCCCCACCCCCTGGGCACATACCCTGTGGACCATCCCACCCCTTTCCGGCTGCAGCAGCAAAGAAGTCCCCACTCCGGACCCCAGGCCCTTCCTTCCCCTGAGCGCTGGCCCCTTCCTGACTGAGATGGGCCCATCACACCCCCTCTCATAGGGGTTTTCAACATCTCCTGTGAGGCTGGCCTGTTGCCTTCCACCCAGGAACATGTCCTGGGCCCCTTCCTTGAGCTGTTGCCCTGGATCCCAGCCTCCTGCCAGGCCTCCACCTTCCTCCTCCTGCCCTTCACGCTTCCTCCTTTCTCGAGTAGCTGGGAAAGAAGCTCTGTAACTCCTGTCCACTCCACAGCACCCTGCAAGGTGGTGGTCTCCACTGCTTGCTACTACCACTGGCTGGCCTTCCCAGGTCTCTCCTGGCCAGTCCTCCTGGAAGGGGCAGTTCTGTGGACTCAGCCCTTCTGGGGGCCCCTCTGCTCCTTGGCTGCTCTCTGGGGCCTTCTTGGGTTCTGCTTGATGAGGAAGAGTGTGCCCCAGTCCTGCCCCCTGCTCTGCTCTGCCCTTGGCCCTGTCTCACCCACCCTCCCAGCTGTGCCCCCTTGTGTACTGACCCCAGAGCTGGGCCTCTGGGCCTCCTCCAAATGGTGCCTCAGTGACCCAAGGATCCACTAAGCTTCTACATCAAGGCCACGCTACCCATAGCGGCTCCACCAAAGACCTCTGCTGGGAGAGGGACTCCTCTTTCCACTGATCTTGGCTCAAGGACAGCCTGCCGACCCTGCTTAGATTGTGGGGCAGTATGAGGTTCTTCCCCCAGTCTCCCCACCTCCTTCCCTGGGGTCCGACTCACTTTGCACTCTGCAGGTTAAAGCAGAAAAAATTTATTCTCTCCCATTCTGGAGGTCAGAAGCCTGCGATCATGGTGACCCACGGCCAGGCTCCCTCTAAGGACACTAGAGAGGACCTGCCCCAGGGCTGTCCAGCTCCTGGGAGCTGCTTGCCTGTAGCAGCAGAACCCCGGCCTTCCCGTGGAGCTCTCTCTGTGTCTGTCTCTGAGTCCGAATCTCCCTCTTCATAGGGACACAAGCCATTTCAGACTAGGGCCCACCCTAATGACTTCCTCTTAACCTGATCATGTGCAAAGACTCTCTTTCCAAATAAGGTCGAGGCCACAGGTGCTGTGGGTTAGGACTTGTGCTTCTTCTGGGGACACAGCCATGACTCTCTGGCAGCTCTCCCCATTGAATCTGGCTCCGCACCATCTCCAGCAGGCTTCCCCTCCACCACACACCACTTCCTGGCCTGTGCTCCTGGAAGGACCCCACTTTCATGGCTCTCCAAGCCTGGTCCTGAGGCTGCTCTCATCCCAGGACTGGGACACCCTAGGGCCCCTCCTCTCCAGAGCACTCAGGCAGCATGTGGGGCCGCCTGGATCGCTGCGGTGCAGGTGCTGCCCTGTGGCTGGCAGGCTTTGTGTCCTGGGCTTTCTTGATGATCAGTTCTGCGAGGAGCCTTGCGTGGCCTTGGGTGCTGGGTTCTGGTTTTGGGGATCAGAGCAAGTGGCCACTAAAAGCCCAGGAGGTGGGTGCAACGCTGGTGGCAGGGCCACAGAGCTCACCCCATCTCTGTGGGTGTGGCACTTGGGACAGGTGCTGCTGCTAGGCATAGGCTGGGACTCTTACGGGGCAAGAACAAGGCCATGCAGTGGGTCTGGCCTGCCAGGGCCTTCTCTCTGCATGTTACGTGGATGGCACAGACCCCTGGCCCTCACCCAGGTCTCAGACACAGAAGGGTCTCTGCCTGCCCACTGCACTATGAGGTCCACAAGGGCGCAGGCAGGGTCATCGGAGGGATCGGGGCACTCCCTGCCATCTGCTGAGGATGGGGCCCAGCTGAGGCCTGCACAGCAGTGACATCCCCAGGAGCCAGGACCCTTGGGGTTTGGCCAGGTGACCCAAACCGGCTCTGTCTGGGTGAGGTCCAGTGGCCGTGCAGGAACCAACAGTGCCAGCCGGGGTGAGGAAGCCGTGAGCACTGTGACCGAACGCCTGCGTGGGTTCTTAAATCCACGCGTGTTCACCCGGAGGCAGGAGCCCATCCCACTCTCGCCCTGGCTAACTATGGGCCCCACCCTGGGGCTCCTCACAAGGCTCCCGAGCACCAGAGGCAATGCCCGCGCCAGAGGAGCTATGGGTGGAAAGGGCTGGGATCCCATCGCAGCCCCCGCAGAACCAGCACGGACAGTCAGGGCCCCTGTGTGCACCTCCTGCCTGGGCCATCCCTGCGGGGCCTGAAGCCTGGGAGGTTCTGAGGTCGGAGGGGTCCTGAGATCTGAGGGGTCCTGAGGTCTGAGGGGTCGTCAGGTCTGAGGGGTCCTGAGGTCTGAGGGG